GGTTGTAACTAATAAATGGATTATAAAACTTAAGAATATTCAGGTGCAGCTTAAATACATGTAAGTATAAAATAGTACGGTGAAATTTAGAGAGAATGAGTGGGAAGAGGTCATTTAAGTAAGAATAGGAAATATCTGAAACAGCAATGACTGAGAATTTTCTAAAGTTGATGAAATATATCAATTGTCACATTTAGGAAATGAGATACATCACAACAGTATAAATGGCAAGTGGAACAAAAATGCAGAACAACAAAGACAAAAAGAAAATCTTAAAGTCAGCTAGAAAGAAAGGACACGTTACGCACCAGACAGGACAAACTGAGAGCTAACTTCATAACGACAATAATGGAATCTATAATATATATTTGATGGAGCCTATGAAAAAGAAGTGAAATGGTGCTCTCTATTATGAAAGAAAAAATGAGAACAAACTGTATTTATCAACAATGACAAAACATTTTCACTGGGATGACAGAAAATGAATATGAGAGAAAGCAGATGAGTCCAGTACGATGTGCAGAGATGTGTTCTTCAGAAGGAATTTTGGAACTTCATTGTAATAAGGCAGTGATGATCCTAGGACTGTAGCATAAAAAAAAAGATTGTGACTTATTTCTCCCAAGTATAGTTTCAGATTTACATATGTTGCCAACAGGTTAAAAACCTGTAAAAACCTGTCTGTGCTTTCCAGGCCATACTTAAAATAACAAGTATTTTTTTCCCAGACTACCAGCTGGCTGAATATAGTGGGAGAATAATCTATATATTTCTGTAGTCCCAGAGACCTGATTTTGGCTAACCAGTGTATTTCTGGGACAGCTTGCTCTATCTGAATCAGAAAGCAGAGAAAAGAAGCAGTCAGATCAGCAGGAAGAACAAATGTTGCAAATGGAAGAAAACATAGGCAGATGGTGGAATCTGTGTTAGATCACACTGAATCATCCTGAAGGTAAGTAAGGACATTCATTGTGGAGAGCTTTCCCAGGACTCTGTGCACAAAGGCCACTAATATAAATGTAGCCCTGGAGGATGGTAAGATGTGGTGTGTTCTCCCACGCCCAGATGCAATGCAGCTCCACATTTCAAGACAAAGGGTCTCCATGGGGCTATTGACCCTTACAGGGTTTTTTCAAATAGATTTTCCATGCCTCAAGCCTGGGGAAATATTAGAAAAATTGGAACATCAGGATACAAGTTCTGCTTACCTAATTGATACTCAAGGCCTTGGACCCTAGGACCTTGGGCTCCCCAGGCCAGTAGTCATCCTCCCACTCCCGCAGTTTCTTGGGCCTTTGAGTCACACCCTCTACTCCCTGAGACTTAGTCTTGGCCACGCTGCCAGCTTCTTTGGTTCTCCAGCTCTGAGCGTGTGTTGGGTAACAGCTTCAGAATCACATGTGATTTCCAATACAAATTCCCACTATAAAAACATGCATATACCAGTAGACAGACAGGAAGCAAGATGTACAGTTTATTTCTATTCAGCTTTTTCCTCTGGAGAGCACTAACACAGCTTTCCTCCCCATGCTTTTGTCGTCACTTCTACCTCAAGCCGAAGTTCTCCACCTAGTCCCTATGAGTGAGAATATCAACCATATTTTAAATTTGAACTCAAACCCTACCTTCTTTATAGTCTATAGATGATGAATTAACCGAAGTGGCACCTTCTGCCTCCTTTTCTCCCTGAATTTCTAAACAATCTGCAATACTAGTTTCCATATGTGATTTTTTTTAAAAGATCTATTTATTTAATTATTCTACTGGAAACTCAGATACATCGAGACAAGGAGAGACAGAGCGGAGGCTCTCTCACTCTCCAAGTGTGCTGATTCACTCCCCAAGTGCCTGCAATGGTTGGAGCTGAGCCGATCCAAAGCCAGGAGCCATGAGGCCTCGTCCAGGTCTCCCACGCGGGTGCAGGGTCCCAAGGCTTTGGGCCGTCCTCGACTGCTTTCCCAGGCACAAGCAGGGAGCTGGATGGGAAGCGGGGCCGCTGAATTTTTATATGATTAAACCTTGTTTGCCTTTTCAGTGTGACACGTGTACATATTTTATCTCCTATAGAAATTGATGGGGTCTGGTGCTAGAGCCTAGAGGCTAAATCCTAGCATTGATGTGTGCCAGGATTCCATATGGGCACCAGTTCATATCCCAGCTGCTCCATTTCCCATCCGGATTTATTAATTTTTACCATATGCATTAATGTTTAATTTTTAAAATCATTGTTCATAGCGCTGGTGTACTAGAAAAGTCATAGGATATATAAAATTTGCACATCCAACATATGTGTGCCACTGACGACACACACTCAAAAAAGAAAACATTTCCCAAGTGGCTTACAGTTCTTTTCTTTATTTACACTTAGCTCCACATACATGAGACACAATCTAAGCTAGATTGTCGTATATTGTAAACACGGGAAGTGAGTGTGGCTGGAAGAACTGAGACTGTTTCAGTTGTCGGGGTAACAGATGGCGGTGACTAGGACAGTGTGAGGGAGAGGGGTGCAGAAGAACGCCACATTCCAGAACGTTGGCTCTATAGCCGACTTCCGATGACTAGCCCAGATCACAGCAGGAGGACGGAGGGCTCAGATGACAGGTTTCCAAATGAGAAGGAGAGACTAATTCAGAGTTGAGTGGCCCAAGTGCCTGGGCCCCTGCAGCCCGTATTGGTTCTTGGTTCCTTGGCTCCTGGCTTTAGTTGGACCCTTCTGTCTGACCCTGTTGCTGCTGGCCTTTGGGGGTGAGCCAGTAGATGGAGGATCTCTCTTTGCCTCTCCCTCCCTGTCACTATGCCTTCTGAATAAGTGAATATTAAAAAAAGAAAAGAAAAAAGAAAAAAGACCAAGACTGCAAGAACAAACATTTGGCACTATACTTAAGATGATGTTAGGGCCCGGCGCGGTGGCGCAGTGGTTAAGGTCCTCGCCTTGCACTCCCGGGATCCCATATGGGCGCTGGTTCTATCCTGGCAGCCCCACTTCCCTTCCAGCTCCCTGCCTGTGGCCCGGGAAAGCAGTCGAGGATGGCCCAAAGCTTTGGGACCCTGCACCCGTGCGGGAGACCCGGAAGAGGCTCCTGGCTTTGGATTGGCATAGCATCGGCCCGTTGCGTTCACTTGGGGAGTGAATCATCAGATGGAAGATCTTCCTCTCTGTCTCTCCTCTCTGTATATCTGCCTTTCCAATAAAAAAAAATAAAAATAAATCTTTATTAAAAAAAAAAAGATGATGTTAGGACATCACTATTCCGGCTCTGAGTGCTTGGCTCCAAGTCCAGGCTCCTCTCTGGATTTCAGCAATCCTATTAATGCATGCCCTGGGAAGACAGTAGTTGATAGCTCGAGTGGTTGGTCCCTGCCACTCACACGGGAGACTCAGACTGAACTAGTCACCTCACTTAGTCTTCGCTACTGTGACCATCTGCTGAATAACAGCAGCCTTTGAAATAAATATAAAAAATAGTTCAAAATGATAGCTTACATGGTAGGGATTCTCGACTTTTAAGATAGGAGAAAAAATCGCTTCTTGACCTTTTTGCTAAGATCAAGTTTAAGACAGGGAAAAAAAAAAAACTCAAGGAAATTTTAACATGAGTAAGAATCACAGTTGACCCCGTTACCAGAGATGTTGATTCAATACGTTAGGGTGGACCCTATGCATATTTATTTCTAACAAATTCACTGGCAGTGTCAATGCTAGTGGTTGTCACGGGTCCAAATGTTGAGAACAACTGCTGGAGGAACTGGAATAAGGAGTTAGAAATGGTTAATGAGAAGACACTTGGGTTTCATTGTGCTTATTTTAGCACCGCGGTTCTCAAGCGCAGTTGTTGACTGGCAACACCTGGGGAGCCCTGGAAGCTGATGATGCGTGGCTGCACCCCTGGATATTATGATGTAATTGATCTGAAATGTGGACTAGTATTGGTAGTTTTGGCAGCTCTCCAGGTGATTTTAATGTACAACTAAGAAAAATTATGTTTTTAGCATAATCTAATTTTAATAAGTTCCTTTAATTTTTAATATAAGATAATTATTGATACAAATTTCAGAGGAATGAGAAGAAAACAAGGCTAAGAGCTGGAAGACTGCAATCATGCATAATAAAATCCTTTCGTATAAAGCAGCCCTACATCCTTGGGAGCGTCATCCAAACAACCTGGGCTTTAGTTCCTCATCTGACTGACTTATTCTCAAATGGTCTTTCTAACTTGACATTTTTGCAGCTCATAGACATAATTCCTACATTATAACAAAAATACTTTATGTAATCCCAAGAGTGATTATTACTACTTAGGAGACTGTGTGATTAATACACTTATTATTTCCTTTTAACTGTTTTTTCATATCCTTTTAATCAATAGACATTGGAAAATGCTTAAGATGGATTTCTAGCTAGGGACAGAGTAGTACATCCCTGTCATTTTTCCAAAATATCATTTGCTAAATGGCATCCAAGAAGGTGTCAAAACAACTCATCCATGGTTACTGTTATTTTCCCAAAAGCGACGTAGGGCCAATCCAGATTCTGATCCTGTTTATTTATTTATTTATTTATTTATTTATTTATTTAGAAAGGCAGATTGCAGAGGAGGAGAGAAAAAGAAGTCTTCCATCTGCTTGTTCGCTCTCCAAATGGCCACAATGGGTGGAGCTGAGCCGACTGGAAGTCAGGAGCTTCTTCCAAGTCTCCCACATGGGTTCAAGAGCTGGACTGGAAGTATTATCTTCTTGTAAGATATCAGCCTTTAGTCAATTTCGAAGGGTCTTAGGTGGTCATGAGTTCAGGTAAACCAAAGTAATTAATCAAACAGGTGGCTAAGATCCTAGGAGACTCCTTACCTTTCAAAGGTCTTACCTGGTTATCCTGGTGGCTTTAATAACGTGCTTTTAATTCTCAACTATGAATACTCGAAGGAAACATTTGACAAGTGAGAACAGATATAGATAATCCGAGGGATTTTATATTAATTTTAGAATGTAGCATGCAAGGAGAACTTGGAACTTGCAAATAGCCTTCATGACTTTTTTCCTTCTGCCTCCCATAGGAGTGGTCTTCAGTGCATGGGGAGAGCACATTGTGACTGTTTTTTCATCATTTATGTTTTAAATTGTTGCATTGACACCAATAAATCTGCACTGCGAAAAAAACAAATGAGCAACTTAATCAGTTTTCATTTCTAGAGTCAATAGAAATAACAAATGTTACATAGGTAAAGAAAAAAAAAAACTGGTCTTAAGCAAACAACTATGTTTTCCATAACCATAGTTGTATCCTCAAGAAAGAGCTTTTCATCAAAGTGAACTTTTTCTGTATATGCGTGTGTATACACGACTTTGACATCCTGCCTTTAAGGAACATATTAGCTGAGAGAGAAATCGCATGCTTGCCTAACCCAGTGCCAAAATGAAAGGTGAGCTCTAAAATGAAATGAGGTCAGAGCCATGTGTCAGGATGTTGCAGGTAGTGAAAAATACACTGAGAATTCACCATGTGATGGGAGGTATCTCAGGGAAACAGCCACCTTCTGCCGGACAAAAACAGAAGCAAAGCTTGTTGAGCTATATATTCTTAGTTGGTTGTGGTCAAGTTTTGCTCCTGCATGAAATGTACCCTTGTTTCCATCTCACACTTTTAGCTACAAGCTCTTAACTAACATGGACACAAATCTAATCAATCCATGTGTGCTGCTTGACACTCTGTAGGAGATAATCTCTTCTCTCAAAACTCGGAGCTTGTCTTATCTTTCCAAGTAAAATACACACATATTATGAGAAGTTAGAGGTTCACTGTCCTACTGGAAACTCTAACTAAAAATCTTAAAGGTAGGGAGGAGAAATCAGAGTTCTTTCTTCAAGAAGAAAAAGTTGGGTAGGCTAGTGAGATCTGGTAGCATCCATTCCACATCTATATATGTGTAAGAGCTAGAAAATATACGCGCTTAGGAAGCAGCTTTGTGAAATAGGGCATTATTCTGTTTTCTTATAGAAAACCTTTTTGTGCCATTCAAAATCACTTTGAAAGACATTTGTTTATAAATACTATTAAAAAGAGCTGTGTGATGAGCAATATTAACTGTTATTTGTATAGTGATTTTGAGTGCTTTCGCCACAATGCTTTTACTCCATTTGACAATCCTGTGAGGCAGGTAAGAGATGAAAGTTCCATTTTACATGTGAGATAAAAAAAAAGAGTACACAGTGTCAGAAACGACACCGCTCATCCATGGTGAGGAGAGAGAGAGAGAGAGAGACGAAGTTGCTTTCACATAACTATAATAACCATTTATTTGAAGGTTATGTTTTAATCATTATATTAAGAATATTAAAGATAATGTTACTTAAAATGTTATTGTTTCTTGAAGCCCATAGATGATTCAACACTGTATGAAAGAAATGAAAACTAGGATGATTTCTTGAAAAACGAAATTTTAATTCAGCAAAACCACTGAGGTAGATGATGGGGATAACCATTGTTTGTTGAATAGTTATTATGTGCCAAACATTGTGTTAATTACTTAAACACATATTTTATTCTAATTCTCATAACTATCCAGCAAGATATTGTTTACTTTCTTATACTTGAAAATGAGAAGATCCAGATAAATTAACTGACCTGGCCAAAATCATATAGCAAATAAGTGATAACACATTCTACAATTTGTCCTATGACACCAAATATCCCGTAACGCTGACACATTTACTCTCTAAATGATCTGTAGCTTCCATGAAAACTCACCTACCACAAACCTAACTATATAACTACTATTTCAAACAACTGATCTGTGTTGCCCATACTTTTCTAAGGGCTTCCTTGTGGATGGTCTTTTTTTTCTCCCTGGCGTACCCTGTATTTTTTCTAACCATCTTTGAATAAAGGTGTAGGATCCCATTAGGTTACAAAAACAGTCACAAGTGACGGCCCAAGGCTTTGGGACCCTGCACCCGCATGGGAGACCCGGAAGAGGCTCCTGGCTTCGGATCGGCATAGTATCGGCCATTGCGCTCACTTGGGGAGTGAATCATCGGACGGAAGATCTTCCTCTCTGTCTCTCCTCTCTGTATATCCGCCTTTCCAATTAAAAAAATAATAAAAACAAATCCAAGTGAATAATTATAGGTAATATTTAAAACTTTAAAACTGTTTTAACGTTAAAAATGTCCTGTCTGCCCCAGCGAGGCCTGCCTCTGGCTGGACGCAGGCAAGCCAGGGCTGAAGGCAGCTCTTGTTCCTTCCTCTTGCTCTTCTCCTAGTTTGTAAACTAGTTTCTGATCTTCTGTTTCCACCAGTGGAAGCTGGGATGCAGTGGATAGTGGAAAGATAAAAGGAACCAGAAAGTTCTTCCTCCGTGACTATTATTGTTGTAAGCTTGGTTTTTGTTCCAATGGGCTGGATGAGACATAATTTGTCTTTTTTGGTTTCCCTGTGGGACATGTTTATTGGCTCCTCGTAATTCAGACAGGGATATGTCAACCTCCCCTCTTTGATGTGGATGAGTGTGGTTTCTAGTCCGGCAGTTAATAACTCTTTCCAAGCTCTGGACATCCTGCAGGCCACCTGAACTTCCTTTCTTTTGAGCTCACACCATCTCTTTAAGTAGCACTATTGAACTGAATTTGGCTCAGATTAGTCGACTTTTTAAAACAATTTAAATTGCCCCCAAATGTGCTTTTTAGAAAGGAAAATGGTTGTGGTAGGAATTATGGTATAGTGGGTTAAGTGCTGCTTGGGATTTCCCATCAGTCTAGGTCCTGGCTCCTCTACTTCCAAACCAACTCTCTGCTTATGCCCCAGTGGCTCAAGTGCTTGGGTCCTGTCACTTTGGAGGAGTCCTGTTTCCTGGCTTTACTATAGCCCAGATTTTGCATTGTGGCATGTGAGGACTGAAGCATCAGATGGAAGATTTTTCTCTCTCTCTACCTCCATACTCCCCTCTGTCACTTTGTCTTTCAAACTATTAAATCATTTTTAAAAAGAAAAAAATGTATTCCAGTAGACATTTTAGGAGGTTAATAATCCTAGTGCGGGTGATGCCATTGATTTAAATATCTTGTGAAGCTACTGGGGAAATGCTGACATGGCTCACTAGAAAGCGGAGAAGGAAGTTAGGTCAAACTCTGCTTAAATAACCAACCCTCTATTGAAAACTGCCTTCCCATGAAGTTCTTCTAGGGACCTAAAGATCTCCTACTAGAAATGCTTCCCATGTGCCCTAATTATATCAAATCTCAACCATTAGCCCATCCACCATAAACATGAATCCATTAACCATTAGCATTAGACTTTGTGATGTAAATGTTTGTATACGTTTGGGGAGCCAATCCTGTTCAAATCATAACAGAATTCAATGCTACCTTCAGCAGATTGTCTCTAAAGCTAGCTGCAACATTCTCCCCTCATCTCATTGCTCTTCCATAATGGAGCTTTGCCATCCCTTGCCCCACCCCATTGAAAAAGTAGAATATATCTTCTTCCTCTTGAAACTGGAATAATCCTTATTAAATGCGGCAAGTGCGATGCTGTGTAAGAGCAGTTGCAGCCCTGCTTTTGCCCTTTGGGGATCTCAAGTCATCATGCAAATCAGTCCAATTATTCTGCAGGACCAAGTCATCCTATGTGTTCCAGTTGTCCAGTTGATGCCCCAGCGAGGGTCATGAAGACATTTTGAACCCTTCAGCAAAGACCCTCTAGTCAACACAACAGGCAAGCCACCTCTGAGTCTGCTCAAATTGCAGAATTGTGAGAAAATGCATGCTTGTTTTTGTTTTAAGCTTGTTGGGGTCTGTTTTTATTTAGCAGTAAAAGTAACTAATACAAAGGCTAGCCAGTCAATCGTAAATGCTCATGTATGCTTTATTTCAGTGCATGTGGGGGAAGAGATTGCTCTCTTCATTCTGCAGCTAAAGTTGTTTGTCAACATACTGCAAAGATTTCCCCTGGAGAGCCAAACACAATTCAATAAACTTAAATGTGTCCTTAACATATTGCCATAGCAATCCCACTCCTAGTCTAAAAGAGGGCTTATACCAACATCTTACATAAATGCTTAAAATTTCTTCATTCATGATTATCAAAAGTTGAGAGCAATTTGTCTTAGTTCATCTGCTGCTGCTAAAACAAGATGCCACAGATCGAGTAAATCATAAGCTATAGAAGTTTATTCAGCTCACGGTGCTAAATGCTGGCAAGTAATAGATCAAAGGGCAGACTCTGGAAGGCCTTCTTGTCACATCATAACAAGGCAATGGCAAGCAAGGGTATGTGAGATGAAGAAAACTGAGGCTGCCCTCATTTTTTCATTAAGAACCCACTGCATGATCACAAACCATTCCAGCATAAGAGCCTTGTCCATGCCTGAAGGCTGTGTCTTTGTGACCTAACCACTTCTTAAAGGTCCCACTTCTCAATAAGGTTACAAAAGCAATACAAGTAATTTTTTTTTTCCTTTTTTTTAAATGTCAGAGGCCGAAAAAGAGAGAGTGTGCTTTCATCTGCTGGTTTACTATCCAAATGTCTCCACAGCCAGGATTCAGAAAGGCCAAAACCAGGAACCAGGACTCTGTGTGTTTCCCACTTGCGTGGGGAGGACTTGGCTTTTGAAGTCATCACCTCTCAGTGCCCAGAATGCACATAAGCAGCGAGCTGGATCAGAAGCAGAGCCAGGATTCAAACCTAGGGACCTTGACAGGCAACATGGCTATGCTAAGTGGCATATTACCTGCTGCAACAATAAAAATTAAATTCCAGGAATTTTGCAGAGAATATGCAAATCATATACAACCTAAACACTGATCATCTGGTGAAAAAGCAAACTATGACTCATCAGTAAAGCACTGATAACATGCAATAAGGGTAAATCTCAAAAGCCGTATGTAATTGAAAGAAGGCAGATCCAGAAAACTACATACTATATGATTCCGTTTATACACCTCTCCATAAAAGGCACAACTACAGGGACAATAATCAAATCAGTGTTGGTTAGTAGCTGGGAGATGGGAGTACAGGGAACTTTTGGGGGTGTGGATGTGGTATATATACATCATTGCAGAAATTCATGACTGTATACCTAAAAGCAGTTAACTTTATGTAAATTAACCTCAATAAGTTAGTTTAAAGAAATATATCCTCTTAAGCCCAT